AGTATAAATGGAAATTACTCTGCAATACCAGCACCGGCCAGTAGGGGTCACTGTGTGTGGGGACAGGCAGGGATAGGAAGTTACAGCATATCCCTGCCTCTCTCTGCTACTCACTGATCCGTGGGGGAACAGCTACACAGCACAGAGAGTCCAGACAGCAGTTCTACAGCTCAGGTAAGTGAGGGATGGGGGGAAAGGCAGCAGGGAGACATGGGGACACTGAGACACTAGGAGACACTGAGAAACTAGGGGACCCATGGGGACACAGACACTAGGGAACACTGGGGACACTGAGACACTAGGGGACATGGGGACATAGACACTAGGGGACACTGGGGACACTGAGACACTAGGGGACCCATGGGGACACAGACACTAGGGGACACTGGGGACACTGAGACACTAGGGGACACAGAGAGAAATGGGAACACTGAGAGACATAGGGACATTGGGAGACACTGAGACACTAGGGACCAGTGTCCCTATGTCTCCCAATGTCCCCTAGTCTCCCAGTGTCTGTGTCCCCATGTCTGTGTCCCTATTGACTCAGTGTCTCTATGTCTCCCAGTGTCCCCAAGTGTCTCAGTGCCCCATGTCTGCCAGTGTCCCCAAGTGTCTCAATGTCCCCGGGACTTGGGGACACAGTGAGACATGGGGACACTGACAGAAATGGGAACACTGAGACACAGAGACTAGGGGACTGGGCGACATAGGGACACTGACACTGTGATACATAGGGACACTGAGAGACTAGGTGACTTGCGAGACTGAGACACTGGGAGACACTGGGAGCAATCCATCGATACAGCAGAATCCAACTGTGAGTAGTTTGTTGGTGATTTTACAGAATTTTCTCTTATATCACTCCTTGCAGGGCCGGACTGGCCCACCGGGATACCGGGAAATTTCCCGGTGGGCCGTCGGCACCTGGGGGCCTGCCGCGTTCCTGGGCCGGCCCTTTAAATACTGCAGCCGCCTGAGCGCTCTGTGAAGAGCGGTCAGGCGGCTGCAGCTTCTCCCCTGTAGCGTGGCCGAGCTGCACTCCGGTCCGCGGTGGCCGGCCGGAGTGATAGGAAGGGGCACACTGAGTGTGCACTTCCTGTCAGTCCGGC